ATGAGGAAGCTCATGAAGTGGAATTCAGTAACAGAGTAAAGAGATACAGTCTTGATGCTTTCTACAGAAAATTAAATTTATGCTGAGCAAAATAAGTCAACCAGAGAAAGACAATTATCATATGATCTCACCGATAAGTGGAATTTAAGAAATAAGGCAGAGGATCATAGGTGAAGAGAGGAAAAAATGAAACAAGGCAAAACAAGAGAAGGAGACCGACCATAAGAGACTCTCAATCATAGGAAACAAACTGAGGGTTGCTGGAGGGGAGGCGGGTGGGAGGGATGGGGTGGCTGGGTGATGGACACTGGAGAGGGTATGTGTTATGGTGAGAGCTATGAATTGTGTAAGACTGATGAATCACAGACCTGTACCCCTGAAACAAATAATACATTATGTTAATTGAATCTAAATTTAAAAAACTAAATTTGAAAGATATATTTTTTAAAGGAATCATTCATTATTCTTAATGAAGACAATAAAATACTTCAAAACAGGCAAATGAGCATGAAACTATTTATCTTGTATTTATATGTATATGTATACATGTACACAGCTCAAGGACAGTGCTAATGTTGTAGGCCTCTGAACAAGGCTTATTTTCTCCCACACCAAAAATACTTCCTCTGAGATTCTTTTAAGTTATACCATACTTTCTAACGACTTTATTACTGTCATTCATCAGCTTCTGCTCTAATACCATTGTTCATCGAAAATTTTGACACTGAGTGTTGTCCCTTTCCTGCCACCAACATGGATGACTTCAGTGACCACTGACAATCCAAACTACCAACCAATCTAGTTCCAAATTTCTTGACTTAGAAGTCCAATAATACTCACCTAATCGCAACTATAATATTTTGCTGCCAGATTAAATATGTATTTAATATTATTTCACCTCTTAATATTCTTCAAAGCCCTCCCCTTATCTACAGGATTTGAGGTGTCATTTGTTAAACCTTATATTCTAGCCATACACACTACTTGTAATTCCTTGAATTTACCATGTTTCTCATGTCTTTGCTAATGGCTTCTCTTTCTACCATGACCAAGAAATCACTAGATCAATGTTTGTTTTCTAAGACCAAATTTAACTCCAAAAATTAGGCAAAACAAGCATTCTTCACATATTGATGGAAGTCTGAATTGTTATAACCTTCTGGAAAAGTTAATTTGCCAAGGTGTATCAAGAGGTTCACTGACGCAATGATTCATTCACTATTCTATGCAACAAATACTTGCTGAGTGCTTACTATAGGCCAGGGATTTTTCTAAGTGTTAGGGATACAGCAGATAGTATTAAAACAAACTTCCCCTTGTGAAGTTTCTATTTTGGTGAGGTTAAACAAACAACAAACAAATAAATACACAATACCAATAAATGGCAAAAAGTGGAATGGAGAGAAGTAGAGCAGGGACTAGTGACAAAATGCTTGGGGCAGGAAAGGAACCGCTTTTTTTTTTTTTTTAATTAAGAGGTCAGAGATGGCCTTTCTGAGGTAACATCTTAGCAAAGACAAAGATTTGTACAAAAATTCTTTTCATTAAAATAACATATGAGGAAAATGTTTAATGACAAAGAGAAAATGCCAATGACAAACTAAATGCAAAGATCAAGGAACAAAATTTTATTTAACTGATTTTAACCATGCAAAACACACAAGGACTAAAAATAAACATTCTCAAACGTTAAGTGACTTTTCTAGGTGAGAGTTATAAGCTACTTACTTTCTTCTTTCTGCTTTTTGAAAGGGTATCTACAGTTGTAATGAGAAAGTAAGCATTCCCTCATCTTTAGCCTACTGTATCTTGTGCCCATTTATCCTCTAAAGCACCCTGTCCTTTGTGTAGATGATCCATCTCTAATAGACTTCTAAGGAAAAGAACTGTAGTTTTCAACGAACCTCTAGTATTTAGCAGTGCCTAGTATTCACATCTAACTTCAGTAAGTATTTACTGGAACATATTTACCAGGCACTGTGAGACTTTGGGACTTGACAGTGAACAAGGCAGAAAAGACCTTTGCCCTACAGGGCTTATATTTTAGTGAGAAAACAGATTTTTAAAAATTACCATGTGCTAAATGCTATGAAGCATCCTAGGAAGGAGTGATAACAGAGAAACGGCAAAAGTTTACATAGGTGGTAGTGTCATAGACCTCAAGTCAAACCCATTTTACTATTTATTAAATGACTACATGTCACTCACTGTGAGGCTCAGTTTCCTCACAAATGAAATGGATTCAATATAATCTACTTCAAAAGGTTGTAAAAATTCAATGTCAGTGAAAATATCTATCCCAGTGGTTAAGTTTCTTTATAGGTAAGAGGTATTTCCTGAAAGCTGAATGAACAGTGTTCAATAAATGAACAAGAGGAGCTCAGAACCCCACACTAGAGAGGGAGGCTCTGGAAAAACCTTATAGAAGAGACATCTGAGTTAGGCATTGAAGGTTAAGTATTTTCACCAGCCTGAGGAACAATGCAAAAAGCATGAGGATGCTGTCTTTACTGCTCTAGAGCTAATTAACATACAGAAAACAAACAGTCCTGCATTTTTGGCCCTGAGTTTCTCCAATTTACCAAGATCTCATTTCTACTTATTTCCACAGAAAAGCAGAGTATGAATGGTGCTATCCTTTTTCCATTCAGATTCAAAGTTTTAAGTCTGTGCTCTTTGACAACAGAAACAGTTCATTTTTCCCCCACCAGCCCCTCTACCATCACCTGAATGTAGGCTGCTATTATCCAAAACACTATTTTGCAAACTTTGTGTTGTAAGCCACTTATGGATGGGGAAATTAATTTAGTAGGTCAGATTTTTAAAAGGAAAATGGAAAAGAGTGCATCAGATATAGTGAGGGTAAGAATAGTCTCATTAAGACTTTATTTCAGTTTAATCTGTGTGAGTGTGCTGAGTCATGATGCAAAATGTATTTCCTTCTGGGGGATGCAAAGTTTGAAAATATGATATAAATATGACATAAAACAATGATTCTATTTTTTCCAGTAGAGTGGGTCAAATCTCTTTAAAAACTAATGGAAGTTAAGGTTTTTCTCACTAGAAAACACAAATTCACATTCACTCACACTACAAATGACAGTATATGCTGAATTTCAAGGGGTTCATAAAGCCTCTCGTAGCCTTGAAGGCCTTCCAGTTAACTCTTCAGGTAAAATTTCAGCTACTGTTGAGTTTCCGGAACGACTTTGTATACATGAAAAGCCCCTATTAGGCAAGAACCATCTTTGTGTATATTGAAGTGCCAAGAAGGCAAAACCATTAGTGTTCAGCATCCTTGACAAGCAACAGTATCTCAGGACACTTACAGAACTGAAACATCCTTATTCTCCTGCTTCAGAACCATCAATGTCTTTTTAATGACCAAAGGATAAAGTTTCAGTCCTTCTCCTTCTATTTTTTCAGTATTTATTAAGCATCTGATACATGCCTGCCACTGTGGACACAGAGTTTCTTTATAGTCTGACTTCCTCATCTTCCCATTTTACCTCTTATCGCTCCCTAGAGGGGCCTCTCTTTGGGTCAAACTGGGATGTTCTTTATGCCTCAATGTACCATTCTAAGCTCCTCTTCCCTCCCTTAAATTCCACCTGACCTTTAACACTCAGTTCAAATTTTTAAAAAATCCAGTCCTTTGAGATGGGTCCAGCATTTATTGTGTATACTAAAGCAACTGACTAGAATTCACTGAGACTTTTGTTAACTTCTAGTATCATATGTAAAATTTCCCCAGGGCTTTCATAAAAGATTTTAAGAAGTTGCAGAGAGTCCTATGAATCAAAAAAAGATAACTATATTTATACCATTAATTATTTATGCTGTTTCTTTTGTCTTTTCTATTCCCCGAGGGCAGGAATTACAGGCTTTGTGTGGCAGAAACACAAACAGAACATATCTTAGGAATGTTTGATGCCTTTGATTTGCATCTCCCTCAAAACTCTTCCTAAAAGACTGAAATGCCCCTACAAATAATGAAATTTGTTACATTTATATGCGATCCACTTTTTTTTTTTTTTTTTTAATATATACAAGAACAGAAACATCCCTCTTCTGGATCTACCAACTGGACATCAAAAGCAAAATTTCAAAACAATCACCGTGTGCCAAGCAACCACACAACATTGTTCAAGAACGTCCAAATCGAAGGCCTTTTTACAACATCCAGAGGAACAAAAACCCGAAAGGCCTTAATTTCCAGTCTTTTTGCTTCTCCTTTCTAGTTATTTGTTTAAACTGGCCGACCTACTTAGTGAAGGTTATGAGACAAGTTGGCAACATTTGTAACTCATAAAACGATTACGTGCAGGAGTTGCAGGCAGAATTCCTTAACAAAAGAACTGGAAGTTTAGACATGCCCAGGGCGGTGAGGACCCCGGGCCGCTCCATTTTTCTCAAAAGATACGGGTCCAAAGGCAGCGGCTGCTCTCGCCCTATTTGTCGTGAAAGTCAAGGGCGTTGCTCCGTCCGTCCCGTTCAGGCACGAGAATTAGTAAGCGGCCTCAGGAAGGGACGGAGGCCTCGGCTCGCCGACGCTCGAGCCCACGGTGCGCCCCCGGAGCCCGGCCGCTGCGCGCGGCTCTCCGAGGCGGGGAAAACGGCGGCGGCGGCGGCGGCGCCGAGACGGAAGCTTTTCCTGTAGGTGAAAGGTCAGAGGCGCCGCAGGAGGCGCCGGGGGAGAGGCTGCTGCGCGCGCGGCGCAGCTCGCTGACTTTCCTCCCGCGCCCCGGCCCCGGCTACTGCCTCAGCCACTCTGGGAGCCCCGCACGTTCGGTCCCGCCACTGCGGCCACTCTGCGCGGTCCCAACCCAACCCGAGCAGCGTGCCGCCGCGCTGCCATACGCGCCGGCCGTGCCGGCCGCAGCCCGGAGGCTGTTGGGGGACCTGGGGGTGCGCCCGTTGGCAGTTGGGAGGAAGGGACACCCCGCCCCCCGCTCCAGGCGCGGCCACGGCTGCTTTTCTCCCTACTCGGCACTTCTTACCGGGGCTTCTCCGACGAGCTACGTCCCGCGCCGGGCGTAGACCTGACAGTCCCGCTCTGGTGGCTGCTTGGGGTTCCGGGAAGAGACAGGTTGGAGAAAAGCTCAAGGGGGTAGGGGAAAGAAAAGTGGGGGCAGGGAGCTTTCTCGATTTGTGTATTTGGGGGGGTCAGAGTTCGTGACCCCTCCCTCGGCTCTGCGGTACGTGCTCCCATCCGCGCCTGCGCATTACTGGTGGAGTAGCGGGGAGGAGGTCGTGACGTTCCCTGGGTGGAGGGATGAGAAAACCGAGCCTCTGAAAGGCCGCTGCCCCCTATCGGCTGGGAGGGAAACTGCCCCGCCAGAGCTGCCCTATCAAGGACTTTCGGAAGCCGCGTGCGCTTAGCATCCCTTTTGCCAAAGGTGGTTGGTCGTTAAAGGAAGTTTTGAGACGTTTCAAATTCGAGTAATACTAGATAACCTCATCAGTTTGGGTCAGTTTGGTTTCTAACTTGTGGAAAATTGGGCTCAGTTTTAGGGTATCTCTTACCTTAAAGTTTATTAGGAGTTAACGAGTCTGGGTAGATCCCAATAAAATATTTAAAATTCCCTTAAATAAAACAAGCTAGGGCAGAATCCTCCAGTCAGGCAAAGATTTACTTATCAGCTCTTGTGGGTAAATACGTATAATGGCTAAATGGAGCAAGAATTATTATCACTTAGAATATAAACTTCTGGAAGTCTGGCCTTTTTGTCCAGTGGTGTATTCCCAAGCATACGGGACAATGCCTAGTGGTCAATAAAGATTCGTGAAAAGAGGCACTGACAGAACATTATGACAGTGACCACCTGCGGCACAGAGGTGTGGCAGGAAGAGCTGTGTGCAAAGCACTGTGTGGCTTGGACTTTAAGAGAGGAGGTCCTTGAAATTTCTTTAGTATTGATCAGCACTAGAAAAGCAGTTCCAGATTCAGGCCAGAAACCCAAGTCAGGAAAAACAAAGGTGTACTGGGAAGGAGAACATCTCCTCTGTCCTTTCCCTCTGGAACTAGGCATCAGGACACACAAAAATGGCATGCAACAATCCCTAAGAAGGGGAATATGCTTTATGCCTCATTCTCTGAAAACCCCTCTTTGTGGTTCGTCTTTAACTATGTGACTCTAGAAAAATATATGGCTTAAAGACATCATCACACCAAAAGTAGATACAGTAAATTTATTTTGTATAAATATAATATATATGGACATTATTTACAATACTAGTATTTTATTTATAAAGGATCTATATCTATATGGACAATAAGATACAAACTATTATCACTTTAAGTAAAAAGTGTTTCTAGAAATTCATGTCATTTAAAAAAAACAATATAGTATTTCAAGATTGGTTCTTAACATGCTATGACCAACTCATATTAAAGAGAGTTCCCCCCTTCATCTCCCCCCACCAAGGGAATTTGATATTGAGGCTTTTTAAAAAATTTCTACCTTTATCTTAAAAAAAATTAAATCCTATTAGAAATTATCTCTTTTCGGGTGCCTGGGTGGCTCAGATGGTTAAGCGTCTGCCTTCGGCTCAGGTCATGATCTCAGGGTCCTGGGATCGAGTCCCGCATTGGGCTCCCTGCTCCTTGGGAGCCTGCTTCTCCCTCTGCCTCTCTCTCTCTGTCTCTAATGAATAAATAAATAAAATCTTAAAAAAAAAAAAAGAAATTATCTCTTTTCTTAGAAGGGAAAGTCATAGATAAGATTTTCCTTTAGAGAATATTAAATGTAGCATAGGCTCCAGAATATTTGTATATGGAATTCCTGGAAGAGACAGGTTGGAGAAAGCTCAAGGGGAGCTTAAAAAAAAAAAGTCAGAAAGGATCCATTTGGAGTAATTTAATTCATCAAATACTGGGTGTCCATAGCATGCAAGGTACTCTGCCAGATGCTGAGGAGTCTCAGATTCTCAAGGACAGAATGTGATGGGCACCGTATGAAAGTGTGTTTCCTAGCTAAAGGCTATGGAGACATAGAGAAAGGAGAGACTAAATCTGGTCTGGAGGAATAAGGGAGGAAGAATAGGAGAGAGGGACTAGGAGCAACTATCACAGAAATAAAAGTCTTGGGTACACAGGCAGAAATGGGTTGGAAAGAGGGTGAAAACAAGAAAGGTTGGGGTGGGATTAGCTGGAGTGTGTGACAACTGAGGAAAAGTGTTCCATGCTGAGCCACTGGGAAGCCAATGGAGGTTGCAAAGAGCAGGGATGAAACTAGGTTAGAGCTATGCTTTGTAGATAGCTCTGGCAGTGTTTAAAATGAGACCATGCAAAGGCGGCATTGGAATTAGAAGAAAAGTTATTCTAATCATTGGGAAGAGGTAACAAGGACTTGACCCAGGGTCTGTGCAGTAATGGGAATGAAGATGGACCGGGTACAAGAGCAATAGCAGAGGGTCTTGTTGAGACTTGGAGGCAGATTCTGGAGCCTAGATTGGTGTTTTTCCATTACAGAAGAAAATAAACAGATCTGAAGGAACAGAAAGTGAAGTCATATAAAGTTTAAAATGCTTAAGAAGGACTCATGTAGATGTCCAACAGGTAGTTGCAAATATGGCCTTGCAGGATGGTGGAAAGAGTAGGTCTAAGGTCTGAGTTATAATGAGGGCGTGTGGGGGGCTGAGTTTGAGTTGCAGACGACAAGACTCCTGTCCTCACCTTCTATGCATTTCAACAACTATTTTCTCTTAAAAGACACAGGATAGGTATTTTGTGAGAAACATACAGTATTTGCCTTCAAGGCATGTACGGTATAAGAAATAGGATTTATCTCTCTGAAAATCCTAGTGACTACATTTGACTATAGTGGTTCCCAAATTTTAAAAATGGGAGTACAAATCGATGCATACTCCAAGACAGATCAACATATGCTGTGATAACATTTACATTTTAACTAAATTACTAAATAGAAGGCTTTCCCTATTTCTGGACATATCCTACCAACATCTAGTTAACAAAACTACACTTTAAAGTTATCTTCTTCACTTACTTTTTCATTACTGCTTTATATTAAAGTTGCTCTGATGATCTCATTTTAAGAAACACTACTGCATACCCAAAGAATCAAGCTTTTGGTTGAAAAGAGAATTAAGGATCTTGGGCAAAGTACAAGAGGATCATACTGGGTATATTACAGAACAGGGGAAAAGAGGTTGGAGAGAGGTTCGGAAATGTGGGACGATGCCTAAGATAACCTTCTTATTTTTCTAGGACTCTGATGGATCCTCTACATTTACAGCTGTCACAGCTGAGGAGGAACCTAGACTCGGGGGGACACACTAAGAATACCAGCCTTCCCCCAGTTTAACCTGGCATCTCTTATCAAGGTTACTTTTAGCACCTTTTTGCTTAGCTTTACAACTGCTCTTCTTTCTCCTCCTTATGAATAAAAGGAGAAACCTGAAAAGGGTGTGATGGAACACATGCATCAGTGTAATAAATACAGTATTCTTGGGATCAGGTACTGTTTATACTTTCTCATAGAATGCACCCAATAGGAGCGCCTGGGTGGCTTAGTCGGTTAAGCTTCCAACTCTTGATTTTGGCTCAGGGAGCTCAAGCCCTGTGTTGGGCTCTGCACTCAGCAGGGATCCTGCTTAAGATTCTCCCTCTCCCTCTGCCCCCCCCCCCCCACTGAATGCACCCAATATCACTTTTTCCTCTAAAATGGTGGCTATCAAGAGATACATTTTTTAAAGTAACTTTACAATAAAACATATATAGTTAGGTTTCTCAGTTGACATTAAATGAGCCAGGTTAAATAAATAATTGATCGGCTTTGGTAAGTTATGAAGGACTGATGAGGTGGGGAAGGAAACATAATACCATTCCACATATAAAACATTTTTTGGGGGGGGATGGTAATCTGATAGCTTCCTCAAAAGGCTATACATATTTTATGTTTTCAAAACCCTCCATGGGGCGAAGCCAATAGCCAGTACAATCATACATGTGTTTTACATGTAATTAGAATTAAAAGAAGTTTGTGCAGTGTTTTTTCTGTTTAGATTTATAAATCATTCTTGATTTAGCCAGCTGTTGGAAGACAAAATAGCCTGGCTGATATTTTTTTAGATTCTGAGGCTTAAGCCAAACCTTCCAGTCAGAAGGCTGAGAGCTCATGAGGAGCGGGGCAGAACTTCAAATAACTTGTCCTTTGCAAAATGCTAGACCCAAAGAAGAAGGAAACACTTTATAAGGTATAACCTTGATCTCCAAAAAGGATATAAAAACTGCAAGGATTTTAACATGGAAGCCTTATTTATGCTCACTTGATTAAAATAAGTGAGCTGCAAAGAAGTATTAGTTTACCTACTGTGACAGAAAGACTGGGGAGATAGCATGTAAGGATTGTGTGTGAGGGTGCAACAGGGTTTAAAATGATCCCACAGCAAGAAACAGCCAGAAAAAACTACAGCAGCCAACTCTAGATTTAGTAGAGACTCTAGTGCTTCAACAAACAACTTCAGAAAGACAGTAATTCTCTTGGCAATGGTATCACACTGAATTAGGAAATACTTTATATAGAAGCAGAAAGGAAAATTCTTGTGCCCTTTTGTGAAATATTCTATGGATGACCTTGCCTTTTAAGATAATTTAAGCTCAGTCAAATGTATATTATAAACATCAAGAATGACTTTAATCATAGTGTGAATTTCATTTTTCTTCTACTCATCAACAGTTTTATGTACAAAGCAGTTCACATGTTAAATAGTAAGTGCACCAGAATTATGAATATAAATATTTCCTAATGAGATGCATTTGGCAACTGGTTAAAGAAATAAAGGATTTGTTTTAATTACCAGGGAGGACATAACACAAAGTAATATTAAATAACCTTTAAAAAACGAATACAATTTCAGTTAACACTGGCTTTGAATCTGTGCTTTTTTGGTATGGTAATTCCAGTTCATTTTTTTAAAGCACAATATTATAGGGAATGGAACATTCTTTTTAGATGCAAACACCACCACTGACTTGGGCTCAGAACACTTATAATAGCAAAGGATATTGTATAATATAATGCTTGCCGTATTTTGTGTTTTTTTTTTTTTTTAATAATACATTTGTTTGTGTTGAACTGGTAGCTTTAAAAAAAGGATGAGACTTAATATAAAGACCATAAAGTTAATTGTGTTCCTCCATCCTCTTTCCTACTCATAGCTCAGTTCAATGAAAATTTTCACATTCTATCCCTTTGCTCTAATTCCTTGATCATGTAACATTATCTCATGCCAAAAGAGGTACAACAGAAATACTCTGGATAATTTACTGGAATTTCATTTCACAGTTACTGAGGTAGGAGTTGGCCGTGTGTTTTTCCGTTAAAAGATACAAAAATTCATCTAAGTTTACTGATTCAAAACATACATTTTTTTCATTAGCAGTTTTAGAGTAATTTCTAAATCAAACACTGCATGGAAATTTGCTCCTTGATGTGTGTTTTTTATTTACAAAGACTCACCTCAAGTAAGAGTGTTACAATGTAACACTACAAAACACTGAGAAATCTGTGTCACAAACAGTTAATACAGTATACAATATTAAGATAAGTTTTCTGGTTTCTAAAGAAAAGGTACTTTAGAATTCAGTGTGAATCTCAGAAATAATTCTGACCATTAAGTAAACATCAAAATTTTAATAAATAACATATACATGAAAAAACAAACATTAAAAAAATTACCTTATACCTAACAAAATAATTCATAATATTTGATGAAGATTTTGGCTGGATTTATCTTGGCAGTGTTCATTTATATAAAATTTTTGTACTGCATTTACTCCATTCTGATGAAATTCCACCCATTTGGAATCACAGAAGGGATGAAACCAGTATTGCTACAATACTGTGCCTTCCTGAAATGCTTCTATCCACCTATTGGTAAGAGAAATTTGTTAGATTTGTAAAATACAATCCTCCGATAGATGTTAAAACAATATAGATCACAGCTGTGCCTGTGGATCCAATCACCCTAGCAATATATTTAAGAAGTTTCCTATACCAAATTAGAATTCTGCGTATATGGAATTGTCCTTTATTTGGTAATATGGCTGAAAATTTGGACTGAAAAGTGCATCTTTTATGTCCATAAAGCGTGAGGAAGGGGCCATTTCATGTAAAAGCTCTATGAAGTCCTGATGATTCCATACGATTGGTTTGGGAAATGAATTACATTTGCCAAGGCTTTTATTTCAACCCCCTTTCTGCTTTTAGGAACACAAGCTTTGTCTCTGTCTCCTTCTCTCTTAACTCCCTGGGCATCCATAGTCCAGACCTGTTCTAATACTTCCAATGAAAGAGAATCTAACATCTGATCTACTTCAGTTGATCAAAATTTTTCATGCAATATGAAGTATATCCAAAAAAAAAAAAAAAGTGTCTCAGAGTTTCTAGAAGTCTTTCCAAAATTTGTTAGTCTCTAAGTTTTATCTGACAATACTCAAAGCTTGCAATTATTCAGAAGACACTTGGAGGTAGTCTTTTTGTACCTCCCTAGTACTATAATTGCTTCCAGACTTACTATGAACATTTGAAATCACTCAATTTAATTAGTAAACATAGCCTACCCCAGATATAGCTCAAATTTCAAGGATAGAATTTTCAAAACTTTAAATGCAAATGGCATAAGTTATAATAAAAAAGTCTTTTAAAAAGCTAAAAATTTCCATTAAAATTAATACATTTTAATGTTCTGTAATGTGTAAAACCACCTCCATATTAGTGACTTCAAAGAGAAACTTATAATTTAGCCTGTATTAATTCTAAATTACAAGTAAGCTGATTTCCTTCACTCAGCTACATTCAGTTGTATTGAAGGTTTTTCTACCTTGTCAACTTAAAGATATAAACAAAAGATGCATATTCAAAAGAAATAATTTTTATCAGTTTGATGATGAATACAGATAAAAATCATGAGAAATGCAATTCCTAACAGAATATTAGAACAATTACTCTTTTATCCAAGGTAGTTTCTACAGAAAAAATAGTTAAGTGACATAATTTTAAATATTCTTCAGTTCACTTGAAAAAGAATTTTTTGGAGTAACAGATATGCACTAGATATCCTGACATAGACTGAAAAAAAAATCTTACAGATTATCTGTCACATTGTACCTGATTAATATCCAGGAACATATATAATTCTGGTACATTAATTCTAACTGCCTTAAGAAAAGACAAGCCTTGTTTACTTAAGGCATTCTTTTTTATATGCATGCGCACTTTAAGCCTATTGAGAAAACATGAGCACTAAGCTCTTAGAAGAAACAAAAACGTATAACTTGTGAGGCCAAAATAAAAATCACAGGAAAGATCTGGTGAAAGGTAAACTGCACTGTTTTGTTTACAAAGGACCTGAATTTCACAGAGATACGCTTCTCTATGTTAAACAACCTCATGATATCAAAATAAATATTCTTGTTGGAATTTTAAAGAGACTGTTTAAAAAAGCCTTTTACCATCTAAAATGATATCCATTTCCTTCTACTCAGTTATTGGGAACAGCATGGGAGCCTCTTAATGTGTTTGACCCTTTCCCCAAAGAAGTAAGTTAGCAAGCAGCTGTTTAAAGTCCCGCTGTTCCATGGCACAATTGAATCACTGGATTGCCAAAGTCCTGGAATGTTTTAAGAGATGATCCTTACCCTCATGGAAGGAGAGGTCAAATGCCTCAGCTTCCTTTCCTTTCAACAGAGCAGCTTCATGCTGCTTCCTCAGAGGTCATGTATAGACAAAATATTTTGGACAGGACTACCTATTTTCTTTTCCCCTCTGTCTCCTGAAAATATTCCAGATCCTCCTGCCTGTCCTTAAAACAGTCCTAAAGACTTTGAAAAATATGTGAAATCTAACTAATTTGGATCTCTGATTTAAATTCTTAATTGTCCCCACACATGAAAGTAGGTTATTTTAAAAATCAATCATGTAAGAACTTGAAACTCATGTATAAAAGAAAAATATGCCTAAATTACTTACTTCTGAGCTGAGTGAGCATCATCTGCTTTGAACACATAAAATAACATGTTTTTATGTAGTAACTGAAACACTCTAGACTCTGAATTCTCATCTTTGACTTGAGTGACAGTGAATCCTAGTAAAGGCTGACTCTCCAAAGCTGCCACGTCCTAATTTAAAAAGATACAAAGGGAGACGGGACTTTAAATTGATAACAAAATTCAGATTTGCAAACTCTTGAACTGTATAGCTATAATTTAATTTCATATACACACACATATATAAAACAATAATTCTTTGTTTTTCATTTTCTTTTATTCAACAATATTAAGCTGACCCCTCCCCACCTACCTCATGAGCCAGACACTGTGCTAAACAGTTTTCAGTGTGTTCACATCCACCGAGTATCATATATTTCCCTACAACCATGTGAAGTAGGTAATTATATTACTTTCATTTTATGGATGCAGGAAACAAGCTCAGAAATATAAGTGATTTACCCTGTCCCACTAAGGAAAAGCTTGGCTCCCAGAGCAGTGGTTTTTATAGGATGTTACTGGAACACAGGGTGATCAGGTAGGAGAAGAGGGTAATAATTAGAGCAAATAGCCAGGCATTGTTTATAACCCAAACAAAGTCTATTTTATCTAAGCTTGAGGCCTGATCAATACAATCTGGAGATAGTCAAGGGAGTGTCAACCAAGACAGCTTGGCAGAAAGGTAAGAACCTTTGCCTTTAGTGAAGTTCTTAGTAGTCACATGACACCAAAAAAGTTACATTTTAATATTATGGAAAATTCCTAACATTTTTGAGTAAGAGCTCTAGGACACTGTTGACATTAAAAATCACAGCAACATCTCCCCCTCCAAAAGCAAAGCAAAACAAAAAATATACACAAAACAAATAGATGAAACGGATAATGTAATTATTTCCAATTGGCATTATAAAACCAGACCCCACAATCATTCATCTTTAGATTTCAGATCTTACCTCACTTGCAGCATATGTATACAGCACTTTATTTTTTATAACAAACCACAAGTGTTTCCAAGGTTTTTTATTGCCCTTTGATCTGTACAAGTAGCCACTCATGGAAGAATCTTCTGTGTTTGCTGATACCTAGTAAGCAAAGCCCATATATAGTTTACTGGTTTTCAAAGAAACAAAAGGTAAAGTAACAAAATTGCTTTTGGTCACTGGTGCTGAAAGCAATAACCATAATGATATAATGTTTCAGAATGAAATTGTTTATTTTCAAAGTCTGCTACTGGACAAATCAAATACTGCCATTACCGGGGGCATAAAATACCCTTCTGTTTAGAAGCAATTCCAGCATTGGGGCACCTGGGTGGCTCAGTCAGTTAAAAGTCCAACTCTTGATTTCAGCTCAGGCCATGATCTCAGGGTTGTGAGATCAAGCGGCACGTCAGGCTCTGCACTGGGCGTGTAGCCTGCTTAAGATTCCCTGCCCTTCCCCACCACTTCTCTTAAAAAAAAAAAAGCCATTCTAGCATTATGCCTGGTTTAATTGAGCTTGCATATATGTATTTCTTTGTGGTGTCACCTGTGTTTTCTGGGTTGCCAGAAGAAGAAAAATAATTCTAAAGATCAGAAGTGCTTTTTGAAAGTTGCATTTTGGGGACTGTATATGTTGTTTACTGTTCTTTGAATTTTGCAATGTTAGGGAAGATTACTTAAATCTTTAACTCTGTTCCTGAAATCATTTTTTGGACTTATAAAAACTATTAACAGAGGTAAATGGAAAATTCAATTATTCATGGTGATTTTAAGGATTAGTTTCTGATCCCCAAATTTTGGTCTGAGAGAAGCTTATTTTGTTTCATAAAAGGAAATGTTAAGAAAATGTCTTAATCTCTAGACAAAAAGGTAGTAAGCTCTCAATGATCATAATCTGGCAGCTGAAACTTCTTTTTTAACATAAAACAACATAAATAAAAAGTCAAGTTTAGGAATTATGTTGTTAGTAGAATGATGAACAGACTTTTTTTTTTAAAGATTTATTTATTTTAGAGAGAGAGTGCTGAGTGGGCAAATGCACACGGCGGGGTGGGGCAGAGGGAGAGGGAGAGAGAGAAAATCCTCAAGACCCCCTGCTGAGCAGGAAGCCTGATGTGGGGCAGTATCCCAGGATCCTGAGATCATGACCTGCGCCTAAATCAAGAGTCAGCTGCTCAACCAACTGACCCACCCAGATGCCCCTAGAATGGTGAACAGACTTTTAAGGTGGTTCCCCATGATCCTTGCTCTGATAATCACACTACTGTATAGTCTCCTCCCCCTTGTGTGTGGGGAGGACCTAAGACTTGCTCCTAACCAATAGAATATGGGGAAGATGATGGCATGTCACTCCCATGATTATGTTACATTCTATAAGACTCCATATTGCTAGTAGATGGGACTTTCTCCCATGCTGGCTTTGACGTAGTTGTCTTGGGAGGCTTGTGTGGCATGGAAATGAATTCTGCTAACAACCTGAGTGAGCTTGGAAGTAGACCCCTCCCTAGTTAGCCTTGTGAGGAGAACTCAACATTGCCCAACACCTTGACTGCAGTCCTGCAGAGATCCCAGCTAAGCTGTGCTTGGACTCCTGAGATAATAAATGTATGTTGTTTTAAGCCTCTAAGTTTGTGGTAATTTGTTATGTGGCAACATAAAACAAATACAGGTGGATTCTATGAATTTTAAAAGTCTACCTTTAATCATGTATTAATTGTATTAATTTCTTACAAATTTTATGAGAAGGATGATATATTATTGTCTAGTAGAAAATTTAACATCTAATGTTAAATGAGAAATATCTGTTAAGTGCAAGTAAATTTATATAAAGAAGTGACACCACTGTAGAAGACAGCCAAGTGATTTTTTAAAAATTAGAATGTTCAAATGAGATTTTGCTTAAAATGTAGTTACATTGGGATACTACTATGTACTTATGTTACATGTTACTATCATTGATCAAAATATTTTGTATGCTCCTCTTTTGGAATATTCTTAAATTAGTTGATAAACTGTAAAAGAATACAGTCACAATACTGGATAGTCATGCATAGTCCTCTATATCTTACTTTAGAAAAGATTTTATTTACTTATTTATTTATAGAGAGCATGAGCAGGGGGAAGAAAGCAGGGTAAGGGAGAGAGAATCTCAGTGCAGAGCCGGACACGGGGCTTGATCCCACGACCTGGATCTGAAATCAAGAGTTGGACGCTTAAACGACTAAGCCACCTGGTGCCCCTGTCCTCTATTATCCTCTTGTTTTTTTTTTTTTTAAGAGTTTATTTATTTATTTGACAGAGAGAGAGAGCGGCAGGCAGAGGGAGAAGGAGAAGCAGGCTCCCCACTGAGCAGGGAGCCCGACGTGGGGCTCGATCCCAGTACCCTGGGATCATGACCTGAGCCGAAGGCAGACGTTTAACCAACTGAGCCACCCAGGAGCTCCTATTACTCTCTTAAAAATAAAATTGGTCTTAAGCAACTTAATCACATGAGTCACAAAACTTTCCTTCTAGTGATCTGATTATTTAAAATATAAATCAAGTCTAACTCAAGAGACACAGAGTGCCATTACTGAGGGTACTGAGGCTCTGAATGGAATTCTAAAAACAAAGAGTTTCTAAAAATGTATTGAACATTCCTGGAATAAAAACACAACTTCCCAATTCCTCAAAAAGTTAAACATAAATTACCATATGACCAGGCAATTACACTCCTACGTATATTATTAAAACAAATGTCCACATGGTAATATGTCCACACAAGGTTTATAGCACTGCTATTCATAATAACTCAAAGGTAGAAATATCTCAGATGTCCATCAACAGATGAATGGATAAAGTGTGGTATATACATACAATGGAGTATTATTCACGTTATAAAAAGAAGTACCGATACATGCTATAACTTAGGTGAACCTCTAAAATACTATGAGAAGTGAAAATAGCCAGACAAAAGGTCATGTATTATATGATTCCTTTCACTTTTTTAAAGATTTTATTTATTTATAGGGAGCGAGTGCACAAGTAGGGGAGGGGAGGGACAGAGGGAAAGGGAGAAGGAGACTCCCCACTCAATGCTGGGCTTGATCCCAGGACCCTGAGATCATGACCTGAACCGAAGGTAGACGCTTAACCAACTGAGCCACCCAGGCACCCTTGTATATATATTTTTAAAAGAAAACTCCACACCCAAGGTGGGGCTTGAACTTAGGATCCCGAGATCAAGAGTCACATGCTCCACCCACAGAGCTGGTTGGGCACCCCTGAACTGTATCCTTTAAATCGTTAATTATAAGTTACGTGAATTCACTTCAATTACAAATAAAATGACAAAAAACACAGCTTCCCAAGTAGAAAACTTTTACTTTTATGGCACGTAACCAGATAAATTATTTTTCCCAGTCTGCAAAGGAGAAAGCAGTGGTTCTCAAAATTTAGTATACATCTGAATCACAGAGAATGCTTGTTAAAGTTTCTGATTCCGTAGACCTTGGGTGGGGCCTAAGAATTTCCATTTCTAGTAAGTTCTCAGGTGATGCTGATGTGCTGCTTTGGAGGACATTTTGAGAGCCAGTGGAGTAAGGGAAGGAATGACTGCAGTGGAAGGTCTGTTTGTGTGGTTGGGTAAAACATGTACAAAATGTGACTGGAGTCAGGCTGGGTCTAGTCTAGACTAGAAATAGTTTTGTAAAACTAGCAGTGTGGAGTTTAGACTGAGGAGGAGAACAAATTTAAGAATTATATTTATAAACTATGACATTAGCATGGAGAGGAGAACAATTATAGAAAACTGAAAACTATTTCCATTGGTTAAGAAAAGCTCTGAAAGTCACTTTAGATTCAGGAACTGAGTGATGGAAGAGACAGTTCAGAGTACTAAATTGGCTTCACCAGTTTAAGAAACCTGGCAATTAGGACTGTAAGTCCTCTTCTTACTATTTCATGAGGCTGGCTATGAATCATTTCTTAGTGTTTTAACTACCATGATGGAATACACTCAACTTTATATAAAGAACACGATCTTGGTCAAATTTTTGGAGTTGTTTGCTTCCACTTTCCATGGTAGAACACCTCCAGAGTAATCAAGTAAGAACAACATTTAAAACTCTACTCTGCTGGCCACAAAACTGGTCACAGGTGGAAATAATTAATAAACTAATAAAAATGGAGGTGGCTCAGGGGCAGCACCTGGGTGGCTCAGTCGTTAAGCGTCTGCCTTTGGCTCAGGTTATGATCCCAGGGTCTTGGGATCAAGCCCCACATGGGGCTCCTTGCTCAGTGGGGAGCCTGTTTCTCCCCTGCCTGTGCTTGCTCTCTCCATCTCTCTCTCTGTGTGACAAATAAATAAATAAACTATTTTTTTTAATTAAAAAAAAAAAATGGAGGTGGCCCAGATAGGCAGTGCTATGTGTTACCTGACACTGACTGACTGAACACTGGAATTTGAGGAGATGGGATAGGGTACTGACGATGCCTATGGATTAAGCCACTGGCAGTTCTAACTGTGCAGACTATCCTAACTTTTTAAATTTTTCTTGTAAGTTGAAGGAAAGACAATTTACTATCAGTGCAGCTGTCTATAGCCAACCAATACTTACAAATAACAAACCGTGCAGATCAGTAAATGCTAATAAAGTGCCCAAAATATTCTATAGACTTCTTCCCTCTGGCATGGGGTCTCCTCAAAGTAATTTTAAAAATTCACATGTGTCGGGGCACCTGGGTGGCTCAGTCGGTTAAGCATCTGCCTTTGGCTCAGGTCATGACCCCAGGATCCTGGGATCAAGTCCCACGTTGGGCTCCTTGCTCAGCGGGGAGCCTGCTTCTCCCTCTGCCTGCCGCCCCCCTGCTTGTGCTCTCAATCTCTCTCCCTCTGACAAATAAATAAAAATCTTTTAAAAAAAAATTCCAATATATCTAAATTATCTTTACTTGCTACCATTGCTATAAAATGTTCTCCAAACCTTTCAACAGCCATTTTCTGAATGACTCAGGTCATATGGGAGACCAAGGAAGAGAGTGAGGCATCAGCCACATCCAGCACCAGTATTAAAATGCATGTCTTAATACTGTGGGAAATGACCTCTTTCTTTATGGAAGAAAAACAGTGTATTATATGGATATGAATAATTCAGCTTATATCAGGTTGCAAGTTTAATGGAAACACTTACTTCTTTGAGAGCAGCTGGGATTTTTTTCTGTTTCCTCCCTGATGGAATACTATGTAAGACTGATGATAAGGCACTTGAAGGAGATTTGTGATTTCCAGGAGATCCAATCTTAGGAGAATGCTGGTGATCTAAAACAAATCAGGTGCATTTATGTAGCCAGTGGTAAGCATTTTGCAATTCAACTTAATTCAGATCAACAAACACTGTTGCATAAAATATCTATGGAAGGATACTTGAGGAACTGATGACAGAGAGACCCCCGGGGAAAAAAGACGGATGGCCGGAAGCTGAGTGGGAGGAAGACTTTCCACAGTCTATGATTTTATACTTTTTCAGTTGTAAACCATGAGAAAGGATGACCCTTTTGTGCCTCTGGAATAATGAAACATGTTAAAGTACTACCAACTTTAAATAAATTATATAAACTTCCCTCCTGACTTAAAAAAACCCACTAACAGCATCATTTAGTACCTAGATATATGACCAAATAAGAATATGATAATGAACAAAGTATTAGAAAAGGGGCTATGAGACAAGATCAGGAAACCATTAATTTTGAGTGCAGAGGTTTGGGGAAAGGTGGGAAGAGAGTAAGACATTTGAGTTGGCCATTAAGGTATAACAGGAGTTTGCCAAGTCAAAAAGAGGAGGATGAACACTCCATGAAGAGAAGTCAGCATAAGCAAAAGCAGAGGTATGAAATTAGATCATCTATTTGGAGAATAATAAGGCTGAGGAAAAAAAGGCTGGTTCTAAGGAATGTGGACTGTTGTTTAAGCCGTGGGAAACCAAAGGTCTTTTAGGCTGGAAAATGACAGGAGCAGACTGAATTTAGAAGAAAAAAATCTGGCAGTAGAAAGGAGGAAGGATTTGCAGCAGAAAACCTGCTGGGAAGCTATGACAGTGGTCCAAGATGAAAGATAGGGCTGAGATGAAGAAATCAAGAGAAAGGTCTTCAAAGATAAATTAGTCAAGATTTACTGACGAAAATGGGTGTGGGTGATTAGGGAAGAGAATTTTAAAAAATGAATGTTGAATGTTTACAGCCTACATGATACACCCACAGAACAAAGGGAGGAACAAAAAGGCCAGTGAAGGATTAGATAAATGTGTCTTCTTGGACAATGTATGTACAGTTACTATTACTCTATAAATATGTGGATTCTGAAATAGCATGCCATCCAGCTTTATTCACTGAGGCATTCTCATTTGCTGATGGAAAGCTATTCTTCATGGAAATGAAGAACAACGTTTTTGAAATTTAGATCCTATATATAGGTTTCAGGAATTTAACTAAAACTCTCTTCCCAAAATATAGACCCGAGCAGTCCTGCTAGCTGCATTCATCTTAACTGTGGGGATGGATACCTGCAAATAATGAGCAGGCAGATATGATTTATCATTTTGTATTTGGTGAAAAGCTGAACATTTAGATATACCATAAAACCTCACCAATCAGTCCATGTGATTAGAAATGGGCTAACAAAGGGCCACCCAGTATATGTCCATAGAGATATATCTATCCACAGATAGATAAAAATGATTTGTAAAGAGCCCACAGTTGTGAAACTAGAAACTTCAAAATTACTTGAAAGTTAAAGTTCCCTTGTAACTGTTTTAAAGCAATTTCACCCTGTAATTACATTTCTACAATTAGTATCCTATGAGTTAAGAAAGCTTAATTAAATTACGAAAGCAAAATTCTTAATATTTTGAGATGAGTATCACCAGTCATATTGCTAATGCACCTAAGATGATTCTTTCGGAAGGGTGTTTGAAAGCATCTGGGAATAAAGGAATTTGTTAAATCTTTACTTATATATTACCTAGTTTCTTCAGTTCTTGGAAACAGTGTTCACATACTCTTGCTGGTTGATTTTTCAGGTAATCTAAACCATATTTATTTGATGAACAAGCTTGGCATACAATCTGAAAACACATTGGAATTATTTTATTTAGAATAACCTCAGCATCAAACCACCGACTATGCTACAACAGATAATGCTATCTACCTAGAGTGCTTTCAGTACCTTTTCTCAGTCACTGACTCTAACACCTCTGTGGAGGTCAGGCCTATGGTGAACTCACACACATCACCACCCTGGAAGATGAAGAGGCGACACACTACGACCAAGTGCTAACTCCATAAAATAAAATACTAACAGCATTAACGTGTGCAAAATGTTTAGAACCATGCATGGCATGCACGAAGTCCTCTGTTAGCTGTATTTATCATCACCGACATTGCCTGTCATCATCGCTAGGTAACCATGATCACGTCTAACTGTGCCTCCACCAAGTGTCTGGCCCTCTACTAAATGCTCCCTAAAGAGGCCCTGTTTAATCTTCCTGGTAACTCTCTGACATCAATGTTACCATGCTCATTTAACTAACGAGGTCACGAAGGCTTAGACACCTCACTGGCGATAATTTCAACACTGAAAGTACTTCTATTAAATACTTAGTATCCAGATAAAGGTAGTTTAAATAATTATCAGTAAATGTGGGAGTCTAGTTAATTGTGAATTTTTTTTTAATGAAAATTATCTATTATTGACATTCTACAATACCCTTGGTAGGTAGGGGTAAGACACCCTATGCCTAAATATTTAGAGAAAATATCATCCATGATTGGGTATCTTCCTTCCCCCTGCCGTGATTTACAGGAGGAAAGATGCTTCCTCACTATGTACAGCCTGGAACTAAAAATCACAATGGAGATGGGTGTGAACTTCTCTAACCTTCCCGCAGGCCCGGCAGTGGTGTCTTCTCCAGGTGAGAGTAAATTCACTTGTGCAGATCATACACATTGTGACTCTGATATCAGGGATCCAGATGGGAGCCTTTGATCCAAGAGGACTAACTTCCTCATTATTTTCTGAGTCAGCCTATGGAAGAACAACTTTTCATTACTTCCATGCACATGGAGTGCTACAGAATTGAGCCTTTTTTTTTTTCCTTGGGGCAATGAGGGCTCACAATGCTGATGGTGTCATTAAGGACATGGGATGAATGATGGGCTATTATAGTTGTCATGTTCCCAGGATATTAAGATTAGCGGTATCCTAATAATCCTTGCTGCAAAATTAACTTAAAAAGATACCTGTGGTAGTGCCATGACAGCTGATTAGTTTCTTCCTTAAATTATATTGTATTTCCCCAATTTTTTACAATGAAGTTTTACAACCAGAAAAAATATGAATATGCTGTATGTTATCACAGACTTGCAGTGAGACATTAACAGGATATTTAGCTCTGAAATTATACCCACACACAGATCTTTCTGTGAAACACATGTTGCTTTTCTAAACCCCTGGGAAAAGTTTCTTTAGGGTAAAAACTGTTTGAAATGCACTGAGGAAAAAAAAAAAACAAGAAGGGAAAGACAATACCTCATCAAGACTCCTACTAGGACAGAATGTGATTCTTTTTTTGGCATACTCTTCTATTGACCTGGAAATCGCTTCTAGCCATTCATCCCTTTCTGTGGCAGAACTGTTGGGGGCAAAAGAAGGTTCCATCAACCAGATGTCAGCTTTTATTCTTTGCCTTTTTCTTCCTTCTCTTCCTCCTGCCATGGCAACAGATGCCACCGCCCTCCCCAACAATGCTAGTCACAGGCAGGAGCTCTGAGGTTCGTAAGCACAAATAATCAGAGCAGGCATTAAAGAACACATGGCATTTTAGCAAGTACAATGCTTTTTTTCTTCCCCAAAGTATTGCTTTATACTTTTGAAGTCTCTTAAATGTGAAAGTTTTTTTGCTTGGTTTAAGAGCTAGTCATACAATTAATAATTATGGTTATTTACATAACCAGGGAGTTTCCTGAGATATAATCGTAGAATTTAAAAAATATTCCAAGGAATCAAGTTTCAAATCCAAATTTACAACATGGAATACTAATTCTTTTTAGGTTACTAAATATTACTAAAAACTTCTAGAAAGGGCACTGGAGTAAAGGAAACGTATATTTGGTACCACAGACAGATGTTTAGGGAGTGGGTAACAAGGGAAATCCCCTACCTATTCCGCCCATCCTGCTTTCTGTTTCTACCCTCAGGTCATAAGGAGCTACAGGGTTCAAATCTAGACAGAGATAGGCCAAATAGGGGGAAAGCCTGCTCAGAAAAAGGCATTCTTGTTCTGCTTTATTGTAACCATACCTCCTCCCAAAAAAACTCTGGTGACTCCAAATCATTGCTGGTATCATCCGCACATTCAGTTTTGAATACTCAAGAGTGAGAGGCACATTTTATGTGTATGTGTGTGTAGACAGACTTTAATAATCTCTCATAATAAAATAAAATCTATCATAATAATGGGAATGTGATTGTGTAAGGAAACGTGTATTTGTTTTAGAAAGGCATATGAAAGTATGTCGGAGCAAAATGACCTGATATCTGCGATCTGTTTTGAAATACTTGAGAAAAAAAATTATTGTGGCAGAATCTTAAGTAAAAAAAATTATTATGGCAGCAATCTTAAGTTTTGAAATACTTGAGAAAAAAAATTATTGTGGCAGAATCTTAAAAATCAAATACAACAGCTCTTATTTCTCTAAGCCAAACACTCTACCATTACTGTCCAACTAGCTGCCATTTATTCAAGTTACTACATGTCAGCCAACTGTGCTAAATGCTTTGCAAATGTCATCGCATCTCATCCTCAGAGCTACCCCACGGAGTACATATTGGATCTTACATCTCCTTTCCCCAATACCATCACTATCACCAACGAGCACCATTTACAGATAAGCAATCTGAGGATTTGAAATGTTAGACAATTTGCTTTAGACAACAGCCTACATGACTTGGTATCAGACCCAAGTGTGGCTAAAGACTGAACCCTTCACCACCGTGTGTCATTCATCTCTCTTCTCTGAATTACGCTATGAGAATATATGCTTAAGCTTCCAAGTAAACCTTCACAAAATACTGTCCCTCCCTCTCTCTCCCCTTCCGCCCTTTTCAGTGGAAGAGGTAAAAGAAAGCAGAGAGGCAGATGGTTAATTTGAGAATTGCCGTCTGATTTTTCTGGAGCCCTGGGAGCATGTGGAATGTGATTTGACTGTGCAAATCATGTCACATATGCTGTTCTTTCATCTAATCATTCCTGGCTCTCTCTTGTGTGGGGATCTGCCAAAACAATGTTTACCAGCTCTTGATAACACATTTCTCACAGACCACACACATTTGCCTGCAGTACGGAGTGGAGACTCTAGGTCTTCTTTTGTAACACAGTTAGCAGAAGAATCAGCACCTTCCTCAGTTAAACTCACTTAAAATGCAGTTAAACCAAGTATTCTTTTCTTTATGGAATGTGTACATTACCCAGAAAGCAAATTTGTATTAAATAAGCACCATTCTCCCATTGATGGGGATGCATTCCAAAAAACCTCCAATAGAAGGGGTTCTGGTATGTTAGATCTTGACACACTATTTACTCCTTGTGTAACTATGGAATGCTATTCTGAGGTCTAAAGGCCACATCACTTCATTTCAATTCATCTGAGTTGCATTTAGTGGGAGCCTACCAAGGGCCAGGTACTAAGCCACGAATCTCACATAAAAAACATACCACTTGTAAGGGCTCATATCTAATTGAGGAGAGACACAAAAACAAGTAATTACTGCATGATACAATAAGGGTAAGGTAAATGAGGAACAGAGAAGCAGTAAATTGCCTTATTTGGGTAGCAGGGAAAGCTCTGCAGAGGGGATGAGTATGTTAGGACTGGAAGAACTGAGGAGTTCAACAGGGAACCTTGTAGTGTCTCTGTGCACCTGTATTCGGCCTCCTAGCTTTGGTTATTTTCTCTAAGCTGATGACTCCCAAATATATGCCAAGTCTGGGCTCCCTTCTGACCTCTAGATCTTTACAGGCACTGCCTCATTGATGGCTCCATTTTTTTTTTTTTTTTTTAAGTAGGCTTCATGCCCAGCTTGGAGCCCAACTCAGGGCTTGAACTCACGACCCTGAGATCAATACCTGAGCTGAAATAAAGAGCTGGACGCTCAACTGACTGAGCCACCCAGGCGTCCCGATGGCTCCATGACTGATAGGCACGTCATGGTCGACATGCACATCTGAAACTAAATTCCTGATTCTTCGCCCAACACTGCTCCTCTCCTGGCGTTCCCTATCACAGGGAATGGTACCACTGCCAGCACAGGGTACGAGCCAGAGACTCGCTCTTAATGCCTCTGGCTCTCAACCCCAATCAATCATCTCCTTTACCTCCCCTTCCAAACCATTTTCCACCTACCAACCAACTTTTAAAAAGGCCAATCTGATCACATCATTCCCTTGTACAAACCTTTCAGTGGTTTCTTGTGGCTCTTTGACTCAAGACCCAAATCCACAAGTTCTGCCTCAGCTTTCCCCCTCCAGGCTTACCTTGGCTTTCCCCCTCATTCTCTATGTTCATGCCATTCTGGTCTTTCAGTTCTTTTAATCTGCTATGCCCTTTCCACCTTAGGGCCTTTGTACACATTATTCCCAATGACCAGCAGCCTCTTCCTTTCCTCTTTGCCTTGCTATCCAACTCTTATCTTTTATAACTCAACTGACACAGCAGGTCTTTCAGGAAGCTATCTCTGACTGCCCTTTCTCCACCAAAGGTAGTTCAAGCCTCCTTGTTTTACAGCCTCATAGCACCGGGTAGTTTTCCTGTGTACTACTTAATCACAATAATAATTGATTGTGTTGACATTTTGCTAAGCGTATGTCTTCCCTGACAGACTGCAAGGTCAGGGAAGGAAGGACCCTTTTAATTCTCCACGTTATCCTGATGCCTGGCACAATGCCTGGCCTAGGGTAGAGGATCCACATTACTTACTGAACGAAGGGATGAATTCCAGGCAGAGGCAGCTGCCTGTGCAAAAGGCAGAGGTAGGCTGGCATGCATGGAGAATAAGCAGATGCATGCTGGCAGTATATGCCATGCTCTGTAGTGGGTGGGGGACAGGGCGAATGGACGGAAATCAGGCTGGTGAGGTAGACAGGACCCAGATCACAGGAGGACCTCTCATCTCCTTCCTACAGGTTATACTGTACCCACTCGCTGTGGTTGGGGGCGCTCAGAAGAAGAGCATGGCACACTGGCGGCATTCAGCATGCAACAGTCCCCTTCCCCCAGGCCACCTTAATCCTCCCCTGGAAATTTACTCTCCCTTTATCAAGAACTTTCCGGTTTTCTCGTTCTTCCTGCGGAACCCATGTTCAATCCATCAATAATCCTATTAACTCTACCTGACTCCGACCATTTCTTACCATTCTAGTCCAAGAGAGCCTCATCTAGCTTCCTACCTGGTCTCCCAACTTCCAAACTAGTCTCTGATGGTCTATCTTCTACAAAGAAGCCAGGGCCCTCTTTTAAAAATATACATGAGATCATACCAATTCTTAGCTTAAGACCCTCAGATGGTTTCCTATCACACATAAAATTCCAAAGACCTTACTAAGGTCTAAGAGGCTGATCTGGACATCCACATATTTGCCTGAATGGCAACCAAAGAAAAAAGGACTTAACATCATTTCCTAAATTACTTAGTTTTTAATAAAATGTAATTGTTTTTACCAAAGCATATTTTTAGTTAGGATATTTAAGTGCAACTGAAAACTTGACTTTCCTGTAGGTATTTTCTCTCTGGATATTTGAAAGTCACTTTCTTGATTTTAAGAACCAAGCTTAAGTATTTGCCAGGAGCCTGCTACATAGAGACTTGATATTCCTGGCACTTTTGTTCAAATTCAAACTCAAATTCTAACAAAACAAACAAAAAAGGGTCTCAGTTCCAGGTGACCAAGAGTTTACCATCACTCTCCAAATATTAATCTGCAGGCTGCTTCAGGTACCCCCCCAGAAACTGCTTTGCTTTGGTAGTTGGCTTTTGACAAACCTTGAACAAAACCTATTTGTCTTCTCTCATCCCCAGATCTGGTATCAGGCACAGTGGCCATTCCATTTCAGAAGAGTAACAATGACCCAGGGGGCTGCTTTTGTCCTGAGTATGGGAAGTCAGACATTTGGTCTGAGTCCTTGACATCCATGGACATAGGCAATATGATAATGGTTGAAAGCATGACCTTCACTGTCAGATATACCTAGGTTAAAATTTGGGCTCCACTGCCTAGTAGTTGTATAATCTTAGATGTGTTATTTAACCTTTCTGAGCCTGTATTTTTCTCATCTGGAAGGTCAAGACAACACCTACCCTCCTAGTTATCATGAAAATTAAAAGAGAAAATAAATGACAAGTTCAGCATTGTGCCTGATGCCAGGTAATAAATGGCTCCAGTTAGGACTCCAGCTGCTACTAAGAATTCCAGTTGATTTTACTGGTACAGACACAGTGGGAAGCAGGCTGCCTGGGTTCAAATCCTGGCCCTGACACTTAATAGTTGGATGGCTTTTTTCACCATAAAATGGGTATAAAATTAGTAAACTCACCTTATTAGGTTGTTATGAAGATTTAATGAATGAAAACACAGAAAGTGCTTCGGATAGTGCCTGGCACAAAGTAAATGCTACATAAGTGTTTCCTACTATTTTTATTACATTAAAGGTTACGTTTGAGAGCTGCTGAGACTTGCTATCCAGATCCAGCAGTGGAGCATGCTGTGGCTGTTGGTGTCTCTCCCTACACCAGCCAAATCCTGCCAAACATTCACTTCTGCCACTTGGCCAGTAACTCAGTAATGTACACGTACGAGTCATACAGCTTCTGGTTTCCTTGGCGCTTGATTTAAATAATGGTAATATGTTTTGATTTACACATAGTAAGTCACTGCAGGTTCCATTTTGAGGCAATGTGGTATCATAAATAACAACAGGTTTAAAAGTAAAAAATTTCTATTTGTATCCTGATTTTGCCAGCTATGTATCATGAAGACAGCAATTCACTTTTTCTCTAACTTAGTCTTCCTCATTTTTAGTGAGGTGACAGTACCTAGGAGGTTTGTTATGACCTTTCAATGTTACGTGAAGACTTCCTAGTGAATTATAAAGCACTAGGTATCTTTAGAAACATTAGGTGCCATTGTAAAAGTCTGAAGTATTCGCTAAGAAAAAAAAAGGTCAGCAAGGCACTTTTCAGCACTGTTATTCTCTTCACAGAACATTTTTGCTTTTGTGCTTCAAACACATTACTGATCAGCAATCAGACATTTTACCTACATGGTAAGCCAAGAATAAACTCCATGGTTTTAGGACTGAAAAGAAGGAAAAAAGAAAGTAGTAGTTAACCTAAATGTAAAAAATGCTGGAGACGTATGACCCTGTAATACCGGCAAATGTTCACAGGCCCAGATTTTAGAAATTTACCTGGCTGAGAGGATAAAGGAGCGTTCTACACTTTCAATCTTTAGTTCATTCTGATATGCTTCTTGGGTGGGTTTTCTGACCTTGAAGAAAGCAAAACAGTTTGAGCAAATTCAGCCTATTGCAAATCTCATCTCTGAAGTGTAGCTAAAACTGCTCAATGCCCTGGCTGCTGTCAGCCACCACCAACCTCCATCCTCAACTTTATGTACCATGACTCTCCCTCACCTGCTCTGCGTGCCAGAGTTAAATGCCTATATATACATAGGCCCAACTTTCCCACCTTCAGACCTCTGCTCACGCTACTCCCTCTATCTGGAATGCCTTCCCTGCATCTCAGTGTGGCCAAATGTGACCTATTCTTTAAGGCTCGTGGCTCTTCCTCCAAAGACTTCCTCAATTCTCCCTGTCTCCTCCACCAGGTCCCACCGAAAGCTGCACATTCCTTATTGTCTGAACTCCCCCAAATTTTTCTTTTTAAAAAGATTTTATTTATTTATTTATTTAAGGAGAGGGTGGTGGGGCAGAGAGGGAGAGAGAATCTCAAGCAGACTCCGCACTGAGTGTGGAGCCCAACTCTGGGCTCAATCTCACTACCCTGAGATCATGATCTGAGCTGAAGCCAAGAGTCGGACGCTTAACCAACTGAGCCACCCAGGCGCCCCAGAACTCCCCAAAACGTTAACTGAAACTTCACAGTGATATTTATTACTGTCTATTATCTTCCCAACTAGTTGCTAAGCTCCTGGGCGGGGGGAGGGGGACTGGGTGAGGCAGAAACAAAAACAATCATGATTCAATCCATCTTTGTATTTTTTTTTTTTTTGCCAAATCTATTACCATGATTTGTTTATAGTTCTCAATAAATACCTCATGATTAAATGAATGTATGAGTGAACAAATAACGAATGAATGAATAAATGAACATATAAACGGTAACACAGGGAGAGAGAAAAGTCAGGGATGTGAGAAAGATGATTATCTTAGGGCTTCTTCTCTAAATATATTTAGGTTAAGAAAAGAAATATCTTCTAACAGACGCACAGACCTTCATTCCAGCCAATGAAAGCATATTGTTCAGTTTATACATCCCAGACTGCACTGGTGTTGTATACAACAGGGCATCATTAAACTGAAAGTAGAAATATTTCATAGAATGAAGTAAAGCAACAAATGTCAGCTACCAAGACACTGATAAGACTGAAATAAAGGAAAAATACTACTTTTTTATTAAAATTTCTTTGAATAAAAACACTTATGTCTGCTTAAACTATGGCCATCCAGAATGCTTTATTAGAATTATTAATAAAAAGGCAATTTCTAGAAAATGTGCTTTCTTTCCAAGTTCTGTAACAGATATGTTTTCTGAATTCTAAATACCACTAAAGTATTACAATCAACTTTTCTAAGTTAGGAATGACATAAACTGAATTCAAAAAGGAAATAATTTCCTGGCTATGCATCATAAAAGAACTTTTTTCCCCATACTTGAAATGCAAGTAAGCAAGACAGTCAGCCAAAGATCCCACTAAAACTCTCTGAATGTGTAAGCTTATCTGTCATATACAAATGTCTCCTTCTATTAGGCAATTATCCCCTCCTGTGGCTCATCAGAAACACACATGGCCACTTACCAGGAAAAACACTCGGGGCTGCATGACTTTCCGAGACAGCTTCATCAGAGTTCCTTCTTTGAGAAAAACCTGATTCATCCAAACAAATGCCCATTTAGTCCCACCTTATGCAACTACAATATGCATATAATTTGTTTTTCAACTTTCTTTCTCTAGAATTTTTTTTGGAGGTGGGATTGGGTGGACATAATTTCCACGTGACTTTTTACAGTCACGGTTTCTTCTTAAACCTTTTAAGTAGTTGGACAAGCCGGCAGAGTTTCATAAATCCAGGATTGGTCCAGGGGTACTATGTGGTCTGAAATGTAATTGACTGAGCCAACATCCTGACAATTGCATTTTGTAATTTTCCTGAATTCATTCTGTAGGCCACTTTTGTGCTCTATGAGGAGAACCAAAACACCAATTTTCTCCTTCCCCTCATAATCCCCTCTTTTATTAAAGATTTTAAATGAAGTTGTCTTTAAAGCTGTGTGAGGTCAGTTAGTATTACACAATAAAATGATCCTATTTAATCAGATACTCTGTGGGGTCCCTTGCCATTCTCCTAATTGAATTGGACTTTTTGTCACAGTGACTTAAATCATGAATGTTTTGAATGGATAGAATGAACTCAGAGTTGATCCAGATCGAGTCAGTGGAGAGTAACAACAACAAATAACCTATTTTCATAACTGAAATACAAAACAGCTACAAGAGGTGTCTAAATGCACTGCATTAAATTTGCAAAAGGCAGTCTAAACCACTTACCCGTCCAGGCTGCACTATTTCATGGTGTCCATTTAAGCTGTACTGAATCTGCATAAGCTTCTGAAAGTTGTCCTACAGAAAGAGAATATGTAGCATATGAAGGCCTGGGCCCCCAGGTTCAACAGTATGCCAGCCACTGAAATCAAGATACTTACTCCTTGCTTCATGGTGTCATTGGCATGGTTGGCAACCTCTATAACGACAGCAAGGGCATCTAAAATGTGTAGAAACGGAATGAACACCAGGTTAGTCCAGACAGCTAGATGGCGAACTGGTAGCAACAACCACTGGAGGAGCTCCGTTAACTTGGGGTAGGCAGAAATATGGACAATGAGGTCTGATGAGGGCAACAGCAAAGGATAAACAGGACTCATGAAAAAAAAATGAGCCCGAGAAAGACTTTAAGGGAGACATTATAGGCGCTATGTATCAACAGTATGAATGTCAGGCTTGCTTTGTGCTGAGCTTTGATTAGCCTGTTGAAGCTTACAAGGATAAGGAAAGGATTTCACGTCGAAGTTAAGGACCATTCCAGTATGAACTGCCTTGGGAGAGAAGTACCCTGGGATAGGAAACCAGAACTATGAAAAGTGATGATTTAGAGGGTCAGGGCTTAGCTGCCTTTTCTTAGTCTGATCTCAAGAGGGAAGAAATGCCACAAAGCATACTAGGCCTTAGGAAATGACATGCATTACTTTGTGAGCTAACTCTTGGTTTTGGGTCAGTCATGATCTCGGGGTTGTAGGATCGAGCCCTGAGTTGGGCTCTGTGCTCAGCGCAGAGTCTGCTTGTCCCTCTCCCTCTGCTCCTCCCCCCACTCCTGCTCTCTCTCTAAAAAAAAAAAAAAAAAAAAAAAAAAGTAGAAGTAAAATGATTAAGAGAACAAATAAGAATCTCTACAAAATGGGTTAAAAACCTGTTCCATTTTGTAATCTGAAAATATAAAGTATGCACAAGAAATGTGATAAAAATTCATAAAATTAATGGGGTGGACATGGACTTCAAATTAGAGCCAGTGATATACCTATAGCATGTGAAAGAGGTACTTAGGGGATAAATTGAAAGAAACACTATTATCCTGAACAGAATTAATCCCTGTGTGCGTATATGTGTAAGATACACACACACACACACACACACACAGTGGATTAACCTGTGAGTATCAATGAGTTCCTTGTACTGTAATGGAAGTTTTCCTTTAAGTGCTACTAGGGGTGAGGGGTAGAAGGGTGGTAAGGCAATTGTCCAGCATTAAACAGTCCCAGAATATGCTATTTTAGACTTTATCCTTGATTCGTATAGTTTGATCACTTCACGGACTCTGATTTTAAAGCCTGAAACCACCTTGCGATCAACTGGTTCAATCCCTGCTTTACAAGCAACAGTCATCCAGAGAAGGTGAATTTACCACTGGCACAGAGTGACTGAGCAAAGTAGGAACCTTCCTCACTCCAGACAATGCTGGGTCCCATGGCCAGCTGTAATATAAGAACTTCTGCAACATATTAATACCATGAAAGTTATTTACCTTGAGTGTCTCTGTAATCTCCAGAGTCCTCTAGAAGATTTTTCAAATAATCTAGAAGAGGGAAAGGATTATAATACTTAGTAAAATAAAGCACAAAGGAAAAAAACATTTCATCTTTCTTATTCAATACGTCAGTCAGTCTTGTTGATTAACATAGGTACTAGTTCAATGTGTGCTAACTTTCTAAAAAATGTGAAAGAATAAAGCCCGGAGATGCATTTGAAATCAGGACACAGGCTCAGAGGTAGAAAGAGCATCAGGGGTCACACTGGTCATTTTCAAGAGGTATCAGGTTACTGAGCATAGGGTCTCACTGAAACCACAACCTCTTTGTGGCATAGCTAGGACTAGAAATCCAGGTCTCTGATGCCCAGTTCAGCACTTTTAGTCCAACACAGATGAAATGCCTTAATTTCAAATCAGATGTATGTCCAGTACAAAATTCTAAGCATTAATAGACTGAACGCCTAAGGGATTTGTCAATCTAAGAGTCTAACAATCAGAGAACAGCAGAGGAATACAATACATATGTCTAGAGCAGTGGATCTCAAATGGGGCAAATTTGCCCACCAGGGGACATTTGGAAATGTCTGGAGACATTCCTCATTGTCACAATGGAAAAGGGGGTGCTACTGGCATCTAGTGGCTACAGGCCAGGGATGCTGCTAAATATCCTACAAATGCACAAAACAGCCCTACAACAAAGAATTCTCTGACCCAAAATGTCAATAGGGCAGCAGTTGAGAAACTCTGGTCTCGATGAAGCTGATCTTTAAATAAGCTATGTGGTATATAGTAGTTCTTACAATACAGAAAAAAATTAAAGCAATAGGTTATATTTTATAAGTCTTTAACAGCAAGGAATGCCATGGGATCTCAAGGTACTTCATTCTCTGTTGAGAAATGTTTGATGGCTTCCCATTACCTCTCAGAACAAATTCTGAAAAAAAATCCCAAAAAACAAAAACCAGACACACACACACACACACACACATAAACCCCAAAACAAATTCTGTTCCCTGGAATTTAAATTCCCCCCACTACATGATCCCTACTGACTTTTCTGATTTTTTTCTCTACTACCTAACACAGGCCCTTTGTTCTGACCAAAGTCTGACTCTGCATAATGCCTTAAATGCTTCCCATGTGGTCCCTGGCTCCATACTTTTTGTCTCTAATGTTCCCTTCTACTGAATCCTTTTCTTTAATGTTCTTTAATGTTCCCTTCTACTGAATCCTTTATATGTCTCTGCATATAAAAATTCTACTCCTATTTTTCAAGGTTCATCTCAAATTCCTCTTCTCTTATCAAACTTCCCATTTAAAAGAAATATTCTCTCCCTTTGAATAATAGATTACAGTAGTTACTTTATGTCTTCTATCATTTTCTCATTAGACTCAAAGCTCCTTGTGGGCAGGACCCATATCTGATTCATCTTTCTATTCCTCGCAGCACTTAGCCAGGGCTTTTGCATACAGGGGACAAGAAATGCTTAATGAATAAAAATATAAATAATTTTCTTAGACCAGGATTGTGTTTGGGTAAAAGGCAATAAAGGCTGAAATCAATCCTAATGCCAGTGGGAGTTGAGAAAATTAAAAGAGGAAAGGCATAGCAAGAGACTGCACTTTTATCAGAATCAATCTCCATTCAGCAATATTATGGAACAGGTATAATTTCATGCCATGGATTGATGAAGTCATGCTCAAAGACACAAAGGGAAACTTGGATGTTAGTGTCAGCTTTTTAAACTCAATAATGATACACACACACACACACCCCACTGTTGAAACTCTGTACATCTTTGAGACAGTGACACAAGAACCTGTATGAGTCTAGACATGCACATTATAAATATCCACCATTGGCAACAAGCCCTGGAGAGACACTATGTATGAGGACATTAAGCTTCTGTACACCACGGAGTAAGTTTGATCTTGCTGGAGACCATCACTAGCAATTTAGCTCTTAAAGCAATCTGAATGCACAAGTTGGAGAGTACGCTACAAATCACATGGATAAGAAAACCACAAAAATTAACAAAATACATTTATTACACATTAGACTTTGCCTCACCTGGAGATGAAAAATTAACTTAATTTCATTCTGACCCCACTCAGAATGCATTCCATTTATAAGCCATCTTCGGTGAGTCCAAATATTTAACTTTTCTACGAGAGTGATGGAGCTAAGGAGAAAAACGTACTCTTCTTCCTACATGTTCTCCGTATCCAGGGTGTCTCATTAATCAAAAGTGAGGTTCCTTAAAGCCTCTGGTGAGGTGAAGAGTGTGGAAAGGAAAGCAAATTTACCTAAGTATCAGATTAATGTCAAGTTCCTACTTTGTCTTCAACTTTTGTTCTTTAATAGAGAAATATACCCAAGCAAATGGACACATTTCTCTAAACAAAGACAGCTCTGTGGAAGATGTCCGTATTAGGAAATACTGACCTCAGAATCATGGGGCTGAGCCTGATAAGCCTCTGAGTTTCATTTTCTTTCCCTGAGCTCAAGTTCAGCTGCTGCCTGCTATCCTGAACTTTAAGGAACAGAGTGGAAATACACAAATGAGCTGAGCGGAAAACCCACCACTAACGTGTTGCAAAATCATGCTTTTAACCAAGGAGGTAAAGGAGTTAGGCTTACTTTCTTGGCCAAATTAATTTCAACTTTCAAAATCCAATTTTCCAAAACTGAATTTTAGAAATTCAACTTTCCAGTGAATCCATCCACCCATCTATATTTCCAGGGCATCTTGTTGCAGGATATCATTTTGAGAACTTCTACCTTTTCCAGGAAGACAAGACTATGACCCCCTCAGTTCAGAATCACTCAGTGCCTTAACTGCAGAATGAGAAGAATGTGACCGATCAGCCTCTGAGTCAGACGGGAGGAGCAGTGAAACCACCAGCTGCCCCAGTGACTGTTACAACCCAGGTGAAACCCAGGAACAGAGACCAGACAGACACGCTTGCGTTAGTCATAGGGAATTCTTACTTCGTACCATTTAGAACCAAGTATCCTGCATGAATTTCCTGAGAAACAATGACAACAGACTAGTCATTTCGATGTGCCATGTTAGACTTACAGTATTCCATGACTTTCTTACTTTTGCCAAACCAAACTAGGCATTTTTAAAAACTTCACTAATAAAAAAATGCTTCAAATGCTGCTAAGGTTATTTATATCAAAAGACAAAAAGGTTGATTGCAGTGTGCACGGGCGCCATAAAATGTACTTTCTGGCCACCAGGTGGCACTGTTGATTAATAAAAGTTAATTAACCCCTATTATCACCATTAGAAGCACAAAATTAAGCAAAACACAGCATGTGCCTCAAGAGATATGCAAGTTAACTTTGTTCTCATATATGAGGCCCAAAATGAAAGAATAAGGACACAGCAAATACTACATTTTGTGAGAGGTCTAAGTTTTTTTTATATTTATATATTATTATATTATATATTATTATATATTATATTATATATCATATATATCATATATTATATTATATATTATTATATATTATTTTTTTATATTTATAAAAAAATAAAAATAATAGTCCTAGTAAGCCTTATCACCCTGATTACCTAATCAAAAAATAATCAACTTAAAGCAGAAAACTGTTCAGAAGTACATTAACCCTTCTTAAAAATGAGTCATCTGTGGGATTCTGGGACATTTTAATTCAACAACACCCCGCCAGATTCCTGGACTGCGTGCTGAGAAATGGTCCGTGGCAGAGCACATAGGAAATGGAGCATACAGGACAGTAACGTTCCAAAGTCAAGCGTTTTGAATTTGAGGACGTGTCTTCCTTTGTATTACCCACATGTCTTCTTTCCTCCTTCAATATGTAATGAGATCAGTGACACATCCAGAATTATGGGATCCCCAGAAAAGTAAGTCTAGTCAATAAGCTTCTTTGTCAAAGATTCAAATTTTAAAAGAAGCACCTAAGAACGAGCCTGACTCCTGAAACAGAATACAGATTATTTTAAATACCAAAAATAAAGGTCAAGTGTTATATTGCAAGACATACTGCTGCCATTTTCAAGGCAGCTCGGTGAAGTGGTCAAGAGCCCTCATTGGGAGTGAGAGGATAGATTCTTAACCGTCTAGCTACCTCTAGCCATGGCATGTGACTTTGGCCATGCCCCATAGCATTTCTGTGTGTCAGTATCCTCATACATAAAATAAGTAGGGTGGACCAGATTGGAAAACTGTAATGATTATCATTCTAATAGATTATGAAGCATATATATATTTTTAAAGACTTTATTTGTCATAAAGAGAGAGCATAAGCAGGGGGAGCGGCAAGCAGGGGAAGAAGCAGGCTCTCCGCTGAGCAGGGAGCCTGATGTGGGACTTGATCCCAGCACCCTGGGATCGTGACCTGAGCTGAAGGCAGATGCTTAACCAGCTGAGACACCTATGAAGCATATTTTTTTAAAAAATTCTAAAATGCAAAATAGGAAATTTGCAAAATTAAATAATGGAGAAAACTCAAACCATGCACATCTCTCTAAAATAACTATTATGATTTAAAATTATTTCCTTCTGTTTTTATAAATGTTTGATTTCACTTAATTTTAATCATACGTAGGATTTTATAGCCCCTTCTAGTATTCTAGCCCACATGTTTTTTTTTTCCCCACAGGAGTAGCTGAATACTATCCCATGACAGGGATATATATTCGCTACTTAGGTATTCTATTAGACTTTTAGGTCATTTTAAAGTTATCTTGTTTTGGCTGTTGTAAATAGCGTGGCCATATATCCTAATTTGCCCCTAATGATTCTGCTGTATACCTATTGCCCACGCAAAACTATAAATAATGCCCTTTTTACTCTTGAAAGTTAACAGGCTTGAATAATAATAAATGAGTAATAAACTGTGTAATCATTTTAATTATAAGTAACACTGATCAGTATCTTGATATATTTATCTTTTTCCATAGGTCAGACTATTTCCTGATCAGTGAGAATAAAGGTGTTTTTTTAAAGTACTGATAAACATATCATGAGAAACCCTCCTGAAGGGGGGATAT